GTCTGGTTTCGTGGTGCGATCTAGTTATGGTTTGATTTGTACTTCAAATTCAAATTTAAGGAAGAACCCCTATTCATTTTAATGTATATAATTTATTTCGATGAAAAATTGATCTTAACTTTTTATTTACGGATTGACCGCTTTAGAATACAAATATTTTTAAAATATAGTTTTAAATCTTAATAGTCACTTCTCAAAATCCTATCACTATTTTGTTTTGAAACGTATTATTTATTTTCACATAAACTACCATTCTATTGATATAAAATACATAACAAGCATATCCTTAATCCATGAACTTATTTAGGGTTAAACCTAAACACGATTTGGGGCCGTGATAATGCCGGTATCTCGAATCCTTATATTGATTGCTCCTCTTGCTCATTCTTCTACATACCCAAGTCGTAATTTCTTGAAGGGACATGATGGTAAACTTGAATGATTTACACTACATACTACATGAGAGTTTAATATAGTGAATGCATTGACACGATGAGTTATGCTTAGGAATTTTATGTTGGTGAATATGATGAATGTCTAGCAATTAACATGATAAACACAGTGTAAAAAAATATGATAAACGGAGGATATAGAAAGTTCATATCAAAATGATTGTGAATGATCGATTATTGTGTGCTACAAGGTAATGCTTGCCCCAAAATTGTGACCATATAGATTATGATATGTGAATCTCATACATGTGGATGTAACTATCATTATTGGGTATGATGAATTAATGATATGTGAAGTGTTAAAGTAAGCAAATCAAAATGATTTGTTAATCACTGTGATGTTGTGATGGAATGTGCTTCATGCATGTGATTGAAGTATAGGTTGAAATATCTCGTACCATACATGACAATTAAACCAAAAAAATTGGAAATAGTATCAAACCCGAACCATACAAGCAAAAGCTCCAATGTGGTGTACCTCAATCAGTTTGAGGTTGAACTTAAAACACTGCAAAACACCGTATTGATTTTGGTCTGACCGATTAGTGAATATATTAAAAAATGGCCCACCAAAGTGTTGTGAAATCGACTAAGGATCCAGCGAAATCGAAAGAGAACCATCATGGTTACCCTGTCGGTTGTTGGATTACCAGAACTAAACAAGGGAAATGACACACGCGAGGTGGGGGGGGGGGTTAATATAAAGGTATAGATCCTTTAGTCCTAGCTGAACATGTAGATGAGGTTGTGCTCGCTGAAAAGCTTCGTGTCGAGCAACTTATTGACGAGTTTGAAAGCATCACGTGAGACATTAGAGAAATTAAGTTGCTGAAATTGGAGTCGCGGATGTAGAGAATGAAATTGTCGACTATATATTTAGTAGAGTAGCCGAGGGATGCGTTGGAGGTCTACTGGGCATTCGAGAATTTGGTTGGGTTCGTGACAACGGAGATAACGCCACCTGGGAAAGGGAGGACGAAAGTAGGCCGGGGGAGTTGGTGTTTCTTGAATTTGTAGGAGATCTATTCGATTTGGGCGAGGATGATTTTTTTTTTAAGCCGGATGGTTCAATTGGTGGATTTGGATTGCAAGGTTGGGTCTTTTGATGGGGTGACGTGGCGAGTTTTCTGACTGTGCGGGTCAAGTTTTGACTTTTTGGTTACATTTGGGTGATTCATAATTTCTTTCAACCCCTCGTCGAAACCGTGGCAGAGATAACACAATCGAGCGAAAGTTGATGGTTAGTGACCAAAATTGAAATGATGATTTAATTATAGTGAGTTCAGTAGTGCAGTTACATTTTTTTAAGTGAAAAAATATAGTAAATGCAATAAACATATTTTTGTAGGCAATAAACATATTTAGTCTAATTGTAAAGATAAAGTTTCACATATCCCTCCTTTAATTAGGGAACATATTCTTTTCCCTTTAAAAAAGGAAAAAAAGTTACCAAGTTTCAACATATTCTCTTTAAGGAAAAGTCCAAAGACATCTTTTTTATTTGCATGAGTCCAAATACATATATATATATATTTATATAACTATCTTCTACCTTTAACCTACTTTATTTGCTTGCTGCTAATTTGTTTTCCTTTATATAAAGCAGGAGCCCGGGATTGTGTGGTTGTTTCAGTGCCCACAGCCAAGAAGCAGAGAGTTATTCGCCTCTTCGAAATCTCGGTCTTTTGGGCAACTCATAAGGGCAGAGGAGGGAAATTTACCCACATGGCCCAAGAGACTGCATCAGTGCCCACTGATTTGCCGGTGAAAAGGCCGAGGGAGGAAGAGCAAAACGGTGCTTCTGCCACCGGCGAAGCCATGGAAACCGAGAACAGTACTGATAATGGGACTCCTGGTATTTCGTCCGTTATTCCCGGTTGGTTCTCCGAGATTAGCCCAATGTGGCCAGGTACGTTCGACTTCCAGTTTCCTCTCTCCTTCCTTCATGTCTGTACCGAGGGAATATATATATGGGTGGAAGCCTGAGATGGGACGTTGGACTCTTCGTCGCCCGTCGAATCGCGGGTGTTCGGTTTTGTATTGTGATTGATTTCAAGGTCTGGTTTTATGACCCTATTCAGAGTTATTTAAGATTCATGTTTCGTTTCTTTGGCTTGCCATTAGAAAGCTAAGTACAATTTGACCCATATGCCTATCTTCACCTGCTCCGTGTTCTAGTGAGAACCAGGCAATCAGCCGTTTGCTGGAATGGAATTGATTCTGTTTTCAAGTCCCAGCAAAATGTTATGTGCCCTGTCTTGTTCTATCTGTTTTTGCATGCTTTGCCTGGTGCTACACTTGTTCAATGGCTTTCAATTTGAATGCTATATTTGATGTGGATTTCCATGCTTCTGTTGGGAACTTGTGTTGGTCGTTGACACGCTTGGATTTGGGTATATTCAGGAGAGGCACATTCTTTGAAGGTGGAGAAGATCTTGTTCCAAGGGAAGTCTGACTATCAGAATGTTATGGTGTTTCAGGTATTATTGTGTATCCATTAATCATGTGCTATGTGTTTCCCTCTGTGTTTATGATGGTGCTAAAGAAAATGCTGTGTGGGTTTTGCTTTTGCAGTCTGCAACGTATGGAAAGGTTCTGGTTCTGGATGGAGTTATCCAGCTCACAGAGAGAGATGAATGTGCATATCAAGAAATGATCACTCACCTTCCACTGTCCTCAATCCTCAACCCTAAGAAGGTAAAGGATTTGAAGTTTTTGAACTGAAATTCTCTCTCTTATATTTAGGGAAAAAGAAGAATTGTTTGATTTGAAATGCATGATGCACCTCTCTGCTTTTGTAGTCCTAGTAATGTTCATTGAGAAAAGTTTTAACCACTGCTTCTGAACCAAATTCAACCACTCTCGTGTTTTGCCTCCCATGATCTGCGTTATATCTGTTAAGTACTATAAAAGAGAAGAGCCACCTCGATTTAGTGATCAATACCAGTAGTATTTTGGTGCAATGCCTTGTACTTGGAACCAGTAAGCTCATTCTGCAGAATTTTTCTTCATCTTAAAATGATTTAGTTGCCTCTTTGGAGGTATGAGTTCCCTTTTCTGTTCAAGGAATTTGGTGTCCTGAGACTATGTAGTGTAAAGAAAGCCTCTTATCATTTTGTTCTTAACTTTTGGCTTCAGGTTTTGGTTATCGGCGGAGGAGATGGTGGAGTCTTGAGGGAAGTGGGTCGGCACTCTTCTGTTGAGCAGATAGATATATGTGAAATAGATAAGATGGTTGTCGATGTAAGTATGACTTTAAAGCTTTATTGCTATTTGTGCCAGATCACCCTGTAAATCTCTTAGGTTCTCGCTAGCAGTATGATTAATCTCATTGGCAAAAATTCATTCAGTATTTTCCGACACTAGTTCATTGCATCATGGCTTCTTCTCCGAAAGGCTTAGAATCTGATCTTATTGAACTGTCCTGCACAGCGAACACTGTATTCATGTTGTATGTGCTGTGCTGCTATGCCCTTTTTCTGCAGGTTTCTAAACAGTTCTTCCCTGAAGTAGCAATTGGATATCAGGATCCCCGTGTGACTCTCCATATCGGTGATGGTAAGAGCACAAGTTCATGATCTTATATTCATCTTCTTACATGATATATTTGTATTCCAGCTATTTATGCTATGTTTTTTTTTCTTCTTGCAGGAGTTGCATTTCTGAAAGCTGTTCCTGAAGGGACCTATGATGCAGTCATAGTAGATTCTTCTGACCCTATAGGTACTGTAACATCTTCACTTAACAAATATTAATGTTCAAATTGGGAAGATTTGAGTTTGATCTCAACACGTTTTCTCTTCTTCACTCTTCAGGCCCTGCACAGGAGCTGTTTGAGAAGCCATTCTTCCAGTCAGTAGCAAATGCTCTTCGTCCAGGGGGAGTTGTGTGTACTCAGGCGGAAAGCATATGGCTTCATATGCACATCATTGAAGACATTGTGTCAAACTGCCGCCAAATCTTCAAAGGCTCCGTCAACTACGCATGGACCACTGTCCCTACTTATCCAAGGTATATTATGATACATATGAATCATATAGTCAGCTCCGTTTCTTTGTCGTTTTCTGGCATTTGATCTGACAGCATCCGGATGCTTCATGCTTGCCTTCACCTGCAGTGGCGTGATTGGTTTCATGCTTTGCTCTACCGAGGGACCCTCTGTGGATTTCAAGAATCCAGTGAGTTCAATAGACACCAGCACCGACTATAACAAAGCAAGAGGGCCATTGAAGTTCTACAACCCTGAGGTCTGAGTTCCCTCTCTATTCTATAAACATTCGTGGTTGCTGAGAGAAGGCTATTTCTTTCTAACTAATTGCTTCTGTTGCTCTTTCCAGATTCATACCGCCGCTTTCTGTTTGCCAGCCTTTGCAAAGAAGGTAATCGATGCGAAGGCAAAGTGAATCTGAGTTCTGAAAACCAAGGTGGTGGCTTGTCTTCGCTTTGACCAATAGAGCGCATAGTTTCGGCTTTCATCCTTAGTGAAACTTAGGAAGGGCATCTGTTTACCAGCTATGGAATAATTAGAGTTTTTCTCGACATCTTTATGTTGAATTTATGGCTTTAATCTGGAAGGTGTTGACTTTTGTGCTGTATCTGGAGTATGCAGAACTGTAGCAGGCAATAGAGAACTCCCTAGTTATTATACATACTGCATACAGTTCTTTCACTTTTTGGTGTTCTGCTCTGTTTCCACATGCTATCCGTGCCTTATGCCGCAAGGCAAGGGGCTTCCATCCCATGGTTGTTGATTGATAGTTGATACATTTGCTTTGAAATAATAGAATTACAGGTTCGAATTCTACGGGCAAAGGCAAAAGCACTAGTGTCTAGTCCTCCAAACCGAAATACAAAACAACCACGAAGAACAACCTTTCTCAATCCATCCAACACCTCTTTCACTTGGTCTCACACATGTTCACCATCAATCTTCTTCTCCAGAATCCGCCTCTTACAGTCAAAGAAGTAGACAGCACAAACCACCCACTTGATCACATTCACTACACAAATCAAGGCGGTGCCGAGGAAAGCAAGCAGAAACCCTACATGATTCCCCACAACAGACCAACCTCCAAAGAGGCAGGGCAGCCTAAGTACCACTCCCCAAGCAAAGAAAACAAACATAAGCATCCCACCCCTGAACTGGCTCCCCCTTGTGAAGTAAGCCGAGACCTCGAAGGCCTCGTTCCCATACTCCTCCCCGAGGATCGAAACCACCACGCTCGCGTTCCATCCGCCGCCCCACTCCACGTACTTGCTCAACAAGGCAACAAAGGCCACTCCATGGACCCCAATTATTGCAGAATTCAGCAGCAGGCTCACTCCAGACCAGTTGTAGTAGTAGTAGTAGTCGTCGTCATAATAGTGGTAGTAGTCAAGGGGGCTGTCGAAGAGTTTAATGACGAAGAAACAATTGGCGGCAATCCAGAGCAAGCCGAGAAGTGTGGAGGCAGAGAGCAGGACAGAGTACATGAAAGTGACGAAGGGGCCTTTGATCCCATTTCGGCATAAGGGTCTCCCGAGGAAGTCCCTAAGGCTGCTTCCTCCCAGGTTCTCCCCGTCGTAGAGCCGTGTGGCCATGTCGACCGTTGTGGCTACGCTGAGGAATTGTAGGAGGTGGTAAGGTACCAGGTAGAGGAGACCGAGCTGAACGAGCTTCGAAAAGGCGGTCTGGATCTGCTGAGAGTGCCATAGGGAAGCGTAGATTTGGAGGACGGATTGCTGGAGAGTGAGGTTGAAGAAGAGCGAGAAGCAGAAGAAAGGGAAGGAGGTTAGAGCAGAGAAAATGATGAACCTGATGCTGTTGAAGGGGAGGGAGAGAGCTTCCTGGAGTATGTCCAGGAATTCTAGCTTTGATGCCAGCAAATCCATGTTCAGGGGAACGAGTTAGCGACTCTGAGATATCGATCTATGAACCTAATTTCTGTGTGGTGTTGGTGAAATGGGCGATGATGTTGGAGCGGAGTTCGTTGACTTTTCTTTGGGAGTAGACTTGAAAGCTTCTGCTGTGGAAGACTTTGACATTTCGACCTACTGGGGAATAGTTTGTCGTTCCCAATAGTCGTCTTTGAGCAAGAGAAATAGGAATAAGTTATCAAACATTGCCCATTTACTGTTTTTTACATCAAATATGCTCCTGTATTTTATAAAAATGATCAAATATTTCATTTTGTTAAAATTTTAATCCAAAAATCATTAACCAACTCCGAACTTTAGTTTGGGCGACACAAATGACTAAAATATTCATAATAAATTCACTTTAGAATCTTTTTGGTTCTTTAAAGTACAGGAGCATATTTGATGTAAAAAATAGTAGAGGGGCATGTTTGATAAAACGTCATAGTAGAGGGGCATATTATACCTATAACCCTTTTTGTTAGAGAAAAATGGATAGGGTGCCAGCATCATTCATTAAAGGTATTGACTCACGTTTAACTACACACTTACTTATAGAAGGTCAAGTCTAACTTACGACCGAGTGTAGTATAGAGAAAGTATATTTCAATTATCAACCCCGTGGGTTTATCTATCCTTACTTCAGCAAACTACAAGTTATCTAGCGGTAGAAACATTGTTTCAAGCTATTAAACTAAACAAAAAACAACTAAGTTGCATTCAAGTGAGAAGACTTCACTCGGATGATTATCACCTAGTCCTGTGTTGAGACGGTGATATGATATTCTAACGTGATTTCAATATTACATAGACAGTTAGGAGATCAAAATTAGTTTAGTCAATTAGGGAAACCAAATCAACTCACTCGGGAGATGACCCGGAAAGGCGTAAAGAAAAAATTCACTCTCGTTCATGGCTCTGTACGATGATTGAATAGTGACCCAAATTGCTATAATGATATCTTCTCTCTCTTAGGTCAATTTGCCCCAAAATTGAGGAAATTGATAAAGGACACTCAATTTTCATGATAAATACTCAAATCAATATATAATTAAACATGCCAATCACTACATAGAGTTCACAATCATGAATCTACAACAAATTAGACTAGGGTTCACATTATCTAAGTGAAAATAGAAACTACTCCATAACTAGAGAACGAACAACAACTAAAAAAGAGGAAAAACTCACGGAAAGTTTATTCTCCTTCTTCCTAGTTGCTTGGATTGGTGTTTGGAGATGAAATATGGCTTCCTTTGGTCTTGGGTAGGCCAAATCCACCTTCAATTCTTCTTGGTTCGTAGCTTTCTCTCGAGGTTGTGGAAGAAGGAACAATGCTCACTCTAAAACCCTTCTCCCCTTGAAATCTGATGTCCTTCTCCATTTATACCTGACAATGCGCATTTCACGGTCGATCTTCACGTTTGTGATGTGTGCAGTGAAACCGTGATGTCAGTGCTTGAAAAATGCACCAATTTACTTGCACACTTCACGCGACTCAATGCCTTGAGCAAGTGATCCTCGCACCGCCCGCAACACGTCCGAAAGCTCTAGAAACTTTGCAAGCTTCACGGTCTCCTGCCTGTGACGATCTCCTCTAAACACTGATCCATGAAATTTTCAACACTTTGTCTCGTTTTCGATCCCTTTCGTCCTACTTTCGATCCTTTCAACGAATTCACCTGCTATGGCTTGAAACATACTAAAATTTTCCAAAACCTAGCATAAAATGGCTCCAAGGACGATGATAAACGAGTCAAACGACCAAGTCAAAGGGGTAAAAACTTGTATAGAATGGTTCAAATCAAACTCTCCCACACTTAGTCATTTGCTTGTCCACAAATAGACCTAACTCACACTAGTGCAACATGCAAGAAACTCTTAATGATATGCACTATAGGTTGTTGGTAGTACCTCAAAGACAATCGGAAAACGAAAAAATGTTACATCTCTATGTGACAATACAAACTCTCGGATGAGGACCTTGTCTACTAAAGAGATGTAGATCCTTCACGCATGCACGTGGGGACTATCAAGAAAACATGAAAAGCAATAGACTCCATGATGGTGCTCCTACTTGTTTTTGAAAAGAGGACTCAAACTTTCAAGCCTCAACTTAACATTGCTGCACATGGCACCACACTTGTATTTTGCAAACAAGGCTTTTCTCCGTCGTGGCTAAGAGCAAAAGTACATTGACTTCTCTCAATAACTGATTCCCAGCCTGCACTCCGGTCTCAACAACAGACGAGTTGCCACACTTGTGAGGTACAAAGGAGAGCAGCGGGTTTCCCGACTTGTGTAGAGTCACACTATCTCCTCTCATATTGGGATGGCAAAAATATTTGTAACCGTGGTATCCGCCCGAATCCGAACTAATCGGGTAGGTTAAAACTCGAACCCGAAGGACTTTAGTGGGTACGGGTAAAACTCGAACCCGAATATTGTGGGTAATGGGTGGGCATGGTTTTCTCACTATCCAACCGGAACCCGCCCGATTATACACATGCATATGTATTTTGTCTAGAAATAATCAATATTTTTCTCTAACATATTTTATATTTAGTATGTAAACATAATATTTTTATGAAATTGTATTGTTTTAATTAATTTTCTTTATTCTAGTGAATTATTGTCGTACTTTTCGTCTTACATAACGTGAGAATACGTGTGAATATTAACATATTGGTTGTAGTTATAAAAAGAAACTATTACCCATAGATAACCGTGGATACCCGAAACCAGAACGGGTATGGGCATGGTTTTAATTTTCTACCCGTTTCTTATGTGAGTATGGGTAAAACCCGAACTACTTTGAGTAGGGTAACGGATATGCACTATCCGTCCCCAACCCGACTCGTTGCCATCCCTTCTCTCATACAAGTCCATGAAGAGGAGAGGTGTTAGGGGGATGGAAGGTCAAGGTAGAAAATTGATGATGGTTGGACGCTAAATGCTATTTTATCTCTAGACATATCCTCAAATGTACTAATGTTCTATTTTATGGTGATGCACAAGTCATTATTCAGGTGATTAACACAAAGGACTCGGAGCACGCGATGAGAAGAGCTATCTTGCAAGAGATTCAGGTGCTACACTCATCATTTCAGCGTGTCTCGTTTCATTTCGTGTCGACTGTCGCGTAGGTATCACAAGTAGAGGTGTCAATTAGGATACAAATCCATGAATCTAACCCAATCCATTCACTAAATAATCCATCTAACCCAATCTATTTAAATCCAATCTATTTGATCAAAATTCAATTGGATTACGATTTAGTACCTATACTTTTTATATTTGACGCTTTGATACCTAAAAATTATTTTGTAATACGAAAAATATCATTGAAATGAAACCTTGCTTGTGAGACTCGAGGACAACCTTGCTTGTGAGACTCGAGGATTTGAACCTCACCTGCATCAGCCACAGCGGACAGCTTGCTTATCGAAGTAATCAACCAGCAGACTCTGCTCATCAATCAGAGATTACGTTATTATTAAAGTTACTTTTGCTGCTGGCTTCTGCACCTGATTTTCCTGGCCCTTTCTCATTTTCTGGTCCTCTTCTGTTTTCTTATCCATAATACCTCTCTCTCTCTCTCTCTCCAATCAAAACCGGCAACATCGGGCCTTGCCTGGTTGGTTGCGGCATGTTGAAGCCCGCCTATTAAAACAAAGAGGTAAAAAAGAAATCTTTTTTCCTTTTGGTGAAAACTGAAAAGAAAGAAATCGTTAGCTGCCTTGAAAATGAATGAAATCGGCCAATCCACGTGCTGCAAACATTCGTACTGACCCTCCAACTCCACAGCCTAACAAACTTACTTCTCCGAGCTCAGCTCAGTGATGATCCTTCCGACGGACTGAGTGCGAGAATTGTAACTAAATAACGGCCAAAGATTGAAGCTTTTTTTAATCTTCGTCGTTGGTTTCTGTAGGGTGAAAGAAGATGGAGGACGAAGGAGGAGATAGGATTGAAGAGAGCAGTGTGCTAATGGGGAGCAGTAGTAGGAAAGGAAGCGGGGGAGGGGACTGGAGATGGGTTGATGGCAGTGAAGTAGATTCAGAGTCTCCTCCTTTGTCTTTACTTGATGGTGGTCATAATGGAAGTGGAGGGTACGGCACTGTGAGGAGGAGGTTGGTGAAGAAGCCCAAGAGAGTCGACTCTTTTGATGTTGAATCCCTGGCAGTTGTTGGGGCTCATACCCACCACAACAAGGTAAACAAAAGCTGCTTGCTTTTCCCCTTTCCTCTTTTTTTTTTATCGGGTTCTTATTCTGCTTGCTCGAATCGGTCATCTTTCGACTTAGATTGAGGTTCTGTGGTTCACAGAAAGCTGGAAAAATCAGTAATCCACTACGGTAAAGCTATGTAGTAATAGAGCAGGCCAAAACCAGAATTAGGCAGCGTTGAAGATTGCTTGAAATCACTTGAAGCATTCGGATCATTTGAAGTGTAATCTGTTGCTAAACAAGTTGTTTTTTTTTTGTTGTTGTATAATTTAGTGCCAAAGGGGCAGATTAGGGGAATGGCTAACTGTGTAATAGTGCCAGATGAGAGTGAGGGTACTGCTTCCCTTGCTAAGTTGTGTGCTCGTACTATATCAGGACATCTCCACTTGGGCCACGGTTGCATTGGCCTTTCAAACGCTTGGTGTGGTCTACGGCGACATGGGAACGAGCCCCTTGTATGTCTTTACTGATGTGTTCAGCAAGGTTCCCATTGAGTCTGAAGTTGATGTGTTGGGGGCCTTGTCAACAGTAATGTACACAATTGCTCTTATCCCCTTGGCAAAATATGTCTTTGTGGTGCTGAAAGCAAATGATAATGGTGAAGGTCAGTCTTAGTTCATGTTTGGAGGATCCTTCTTTCTACTACCGAGCGCGCATGGTTTACACACATAATGCTTTTGGTGGCAGGAGGAACTTTTGCTCTCTACTCACTGATCGCCAGATATGCTAAGGTTAGCATGCTGCCAAATCGTCAGCCAGCTGATGAACTAATCTCGAGTTTTAAGCTGAAGTTGCCTACTCCGGAGTTAGAAAGGGCTTTGCACATTAAGGAGATCCTGGAAACAAGGCGCTTCCTGAAAACACTCCTCTTGCTTTTGGTTTTGATGGGAACTTCAATGGTTATAGGAGATGGTATCCTCACCCCTGCCATATCAGGTGCATTATATAGATGTGAAAGTGGAGACTGTCTGATTGAACCAAAATCTGTAGTATCATTTCATGACATCTCCAGATGATGCTAATGATGACATTTGCCTGTTGCAGTGATGTCCGCCACAAGTGGTCTTCAGGGTGAAGTATCTGGATTTGGTACAAGTAGGTACCTTATTTTCTCTTTCAATCTGCTCTTCGTGTTACATGTGCCCTATTTCACCAATTTCAACTGCAATCCTGAAAAAAGAACTGAACAAAATGAGTATGGAAGAGTCATTTTCAGCTTCTTGTCTTTCACTTTTCCCTGAACTTACTACTCATCTCAAAAGATTCAATCATCCACCTGCATCATCGCTGTAGTTCCATACTATCGGTCGAGATCGAAGAATGATTTTATCACAAAAAATGTCTATAATATGGATGCCCATGGTTGCAGATGCTGTGGTTGCTGTTTCAATTGTTATCCTCTTGGCATTGTTTGGGATACAGCAGTTTGGAACAGGCAAAGTGGGCTTTATGTTTGCTCCCATACTCGCCTTATGGTTCTTCTCCTTGGGCGCCATTGGACTGTACAACCTAGTGACATATGATATCTCTGTCCTAAGAGCACTAAATCCAGCTTATATATACTTTTTCTTCCAGAAGAATGGGGTTGCTGCATGGTCGGCCCTTGGTGGCTGTGTCTTGTGCATCACAGGTAAATTAATGACAAACTCTTCTCTGCAAAGTTATAGGCTAAAAAAGAATTCCATTCTGAGTTGAAGTTTTACCGACACGAAGGCTTACCTCGTCTTGACTGATGACAATCACACTTTGGTTGCAGGCGCGGAAGCAATGTTTGCAGATCTGGGGCATTTCTCTGTAAAAGCTATACAAGTTCGATTCTCAAACATTTTCAACTTTTTGGTTCCTTGTCCAGATCTTGCACAATTGGTTTCCTTAACTTATGCATTCTTGCTTGACAGATTGCTTTCACCTGTGTGGTGTTCCCTTGTCTTCTGCTTGCTTACTTGGGTCAGGCTGCATATCTAATGAAACATCCTGATTCTGCAAGTAGAATATTCTACAATTCAGTCCCAGGTGACAAATGAAACATAATGGACGTTTCATGTCCATTTGTTATTTTCCCTTTAGATCACTATCCAAGTTTCTAACACCACATGTCTGAAATGAACAGAAAGCCTATTCTGGCCAGTCTTTATATTAGCCTCCTTTGCTGCGATGATTGCCAGTCAGGCAATGATATCAGCCACATTTTCTTGTGTAAAGCAATCCATGGCCCTCGGATGCTTCCCAAGGCTGAAGATAATCCATACATCGAGGAAGCGAATGGGTCAAATATATATTCCAGTCATCAATTACTTTCTGATGACCATGTGCATCATTGTGGTTGCCATATTCCGCAGCACAACAGATATCGCCAATGCATATGGTTAAGTGCCCTCCTTCCTCATTCTTTGGATTTCTTTTTGCTCACAGCATTCCTTTTGCTGCTAATGCTGCATATCTTGTTTACTCTCTTTTATTTGTCAGGCATTGCTGAAGTTGGAGTGATGATTGTGACCACCACACTGGTCACCCTCGTTATGCTTCTCATCTGGCAGACGAATTTGGTCCTTGCTTTCTTGTTCCCTCTAGTGTTTGGATCGATCGAGCTCATTTATTTGTCAGCAGTTCTTTCCAAGCTCTTGGAAGGCGGATGGCTACCTTTAGCCTTTGCCAGTTTTTTCCTCTGCGTGATGTACATTTGGAACTATGGAAGCGTGCTGAAGTACCAGAGCGAGGTGAGAGAGAAGATATCCATGGACTTGATGCACGACCTTGGCTCTAACCTTGGGACAGTTAGGGTCCCAGGCATTGGGTTGCTATACAATGAACTTGTCACTGGGATTCCATCAATCTTTGGTCAGTACCTACTGAGCCTTCCAGCAATCCAATCCACCATCGTCTTTGTTTGCATCAAGTATGTTCCAGTTCCTGTAGTTCCTCAAGAGGAAAGGTTCCTGTTTCGAAGAGTTTGCCCCAAGGACTACCATATGTTCAGGTGCGTTGCTCGATATGGGTACAAAGATGTGAGGAAGGAGAATCATCAGGCATTTGAGCAGCTCCTGGTTGAAAGTCTGGAGAAGTTCCTTCGACGAGAGGCTCAAGATCTTGCCTTGGAGAGGGATCTCAATGACTTCGACATGGACAGTGTTTCAGTTACTGGTGGTGATGGTGCTGGAACTGATGACCTCAGGACTCCTCTGCTGATGAATGATCAAAGACGAGAGGAAGCAGGAGCTTCATCAGAAGCTGCTGCTCCCTTGGGAGTCTTACTACCCTCTAGTGTTATGTCATCAGATGAAGATCCGAGCTTGGAATACGAGCTCTCAGCCCTTCGAGAAGCAATGGAATCTGGGTTCACTTACCTGCTAGCTCATGGAGATGTAAGGGCCAAGAAGGAGTCATTCTTCCTCAAGAAGCTGGTCATTAACTACTTCTATGCATTCTTGCGAAAGAACTGTAGAGCAGGTGCTGCTAATCTGAAAGTGCCTCACATGAATATCTTGCAGGTAGGAATGACCTACATGGTATAAATGGCAGTGTTGGTGTTCTCCAGGAGGGACGTGCTATTTGAGTGTCGGAGAATGTTAGTCCATTCAAAACTGGCTACAAGTTTGGGAACACTATGAAATAAACTAGAATCAGGAGTACCTTTTTCAACTCCAAATCTGGCTCTGGTGTTGGCCGTTCATTCAGTACATGCTACGGTCTAATAACATCTATTTCTATAATTTAAGTTGGTCAAAGATGAGATGCTTCCTTCAATTCATTTCCAAATACTGTACCGCAATTTGTAATACCATTGACCAATCAGTAAACATAAACAAATAAATAAATAAATGTTTTTTTTCTCCATTATAATCGTCATTTTGAGTAGGCGATTCACTTAAAAACAATGTTAATCATCACTTGTCATACGACGGACTAGGAAAAGCATGAACTTTCACAAAAAATCATTCAAAATTTCCTTTGATTTGAAGAATTTAGAGTTAGGGTTTGCTGTTTACAATTTGGGATTTAGGGTTAGGATTGAAAATTTAAGGGTTAGGGCTTATAGTAATGCATTGATTAGTTGTGATTGTAATACCATCTATTAGACTAATGCTATTAATTAAAATTCAAAATTCGATGTCTTAAGCATATTTTTAGAGTAGACTAATGTGTTACTTCTCGCCGTCCACCAGTGATTCGACTATCTACCGTGTCCAGTAGTGGCCCTATCGCTCGGGGGTTCATTACTTAACATCATCCATACACATTCACATACAAAGCACAACGCGTGCCTCTACCTTAAGTAGACGGTGGGATGTCTCACACACATAATCGCCCACGTAGCTAAGTAGAGGGGTTTAGCCTAGGGGATGCTTTTTAGAATTATAAATAAAATAATAATAGTAATTATTATTATTACTATCACTCTTAATCCACGGTTACATTCCTTCAGTCGTTCAACGATCAATTTGGGCCGCATCGAATAGTTAGGCCTTAGTCGTTAGCCTTGTTTGGTTATGCAATCGTCGATCCAACCGTTCATTTATTATGGTTGAACCTAACCTGAAAGGCCGAGGTGTTACATGTCTATTCGGTTCGGGTTTGGTTACCGGAACTGAAACACGAAAACCCAAAATCAATGAAAACTGAACCCGAAAACACACCTAAGAATATGGGCTGAGTCAGTAGCGGAGGCAGCATTTCAAACCACCCTTGTTCTCTTTTCATAACTTAAATATATAAGTATCTAATAAAAGAATTATTTAATAAAAAATAATTATAAGTATCTACACTATTATATAAGTCTCTTTCAAGGTGTCTTACTAAACAAGTATTAGCAAACTGGTCGCCAAATTGATTTGGAAACTTGTTCTTAATATAACTCAAAGTTGAAAATGCTCTTTTTACACTTGCAGTTGTAATTGGTAGATCAAAACTAGTGGGATTGCCGTTGTCGCTAGACAATTTCAGGGTTGTTGGGGACAGATCGAATAGGCATAAGGTGAAAAGAGACCCGATTAGTTCTTTATTGCAATTGGAATTTCGTTTATTGTATAATAAATTAACTAGTGTGGGCCCCGGCCAGTTGGCCGGAGGAAGGTAGGATGGCAATGGGTCGGGTTTTGCCAAATTCAAATCCAAATTCATGGGTTTATCCGTGAAAAAAATTCGGGGTAAAATCTACTGGGTTTGAAAAACTCAAACCCAATGATTTTTCATTCATAAAGTGTTTTTCCCTGTGTTTTATCGTAAAAAGTAAAATTTAGCGTGCATTTTTTTCAAATAACATGTAAGAGTGGGTCGACCCGCCCCGCCCTGTACCCGCGTGGGTATTACCCACCCCACCCCGTGTGAGATTGTGCGAGCCTTCACACGACTTGCCCTGACATCCACACGGCCGTGTGAAGGAGTGGTTTGGCCGTGTGGAATTGTGCGAGAGCAAACACGGGCAGGATGGAAATAACAAATTATCCATAAATAACATGATTAATTGAAAGCTTCTTCCTTTCAATTAAGTTTCTTCACTCTCCACTCGATAACATCAACTTCATTCTACACAATTAGAAAGAAAAAATTAGACAGGTCTCCACAAACATAAATAAGATAAGTTGTTTAGAATATTAAATATATCGAGAAAATTAATTATATGGGTGTGGGCGGGTACCCATGGGTCGGGTTTACCTAAACCCAAACCCAACCCAACCCGATGAATATTGAACGGGTTTAAACCCAAACCCGGCCCAAAACCCGTCAACACGGATTTTACCCGCGTTGACCGAGTTGGGTCGGGTGGGTACCCGTGGGTTCGGGTTTTGTTTCCATCCCTAGAGGAAGGTGAGGTATGAAATTTGATAATGTAATGGGGTGTATAACTTATTGTTGTATAGTTTTTTTGGGAAACACGTGATAAAATTAGTGAATTTTAGCAGGAAAGAGACATTAATGATGCAACAAATCAAAAATCGGCCTTATGAACCAAAATCAAGTACCTGTTACCTTGTGAAACAATATTGTTTCTGGTAATATGATGAGGTGGAGTAAGTTTTATAGAAACTGAATTCCATAAAATCGAATAAAAAATCGCCTATCCCGTCGGTTTTAGGGAAATGAGCATCTCACAATCGTTGCTAGCTTTTACTCGGCCAGTTGGCCGATTAATTTGGTTTATAAAACTTTCATCTTGTCGTCATTGTGCTTTCTGGTTTTTTTTTTTCAGGCTATGATAAAATCTAAGGAAATCAAGAACGAACAACACGATTTGGGATAGGAACCGTCGTTGTCGTATCCCTAGAAAATGGTGGTAAACACGAACTCACCTGCCAAACTGGTTTGGATTGAGATTTTTATCGGGTATCAGGGAACCATGTGATTATAAATTAGACTTGATCAAAAGGGGCCAAAACTTGAAATGCATCATGTTTGACCGACCCATGCCAAATTCTAATTATTCTTTACTTTTAAACTTTTTATTTGAAAATAAAAAATAGTGAAAGAAAAGAGATGACTGCCATTTGCACATCACTTATTCGGGAATAAAACCATAGAAATTCGAAAGGAACTGAAAATGTTAGGATCGTTTTAATGTTTAAAATAACCAAATAGATCTTTCTGTTTAGTTTTATACTAACAAATACCAAACGATTCCCTATAAAATACACTATGATTTGATCATTATGATATCAAATAATTATATAATATATATTTGAAATGATAAAAATTGGACTAATTGGGTTGGTCGAGGTTGAACCGTTGAATAACTTTAAAATACATTATATTTTAGCCACTAAGATATAAAATAATAGCATAATATATTATGCCAGAGAAAATAGCTTGTTTTAGAATGTCAAACCAATGATGTTCATTTGTTTTACTTGATGGCCAAATCCCGTGTAGGTCAAACCAATTTAACTCTTTTATTTTATGGTTAGCGGTTAGCCCATTAGATACCATGCATTAGTTTATTGTTAAATTTTTTATTTTTAGCAATAAAAAGAAGTATTGTTTTTGCCTCTTCATATATATTTTATCACCACGGAGAAATAAAAGGGCTTAATGAAAATTTGACACTCTTGAACCCGTTTAAATCCGCATGTGTACGGTAAGTTGGCCCGTTCCACAGAGGAAAGAGGAAAAAATTGACACTCCCTATTCTATCATTCCTACAAACGCTCCTGGAGCAGGAAATTTGAAATGGGGGAAGGGTTTTTTCCTCTCTGCTATTATATCTTTTTAATTTAAAAAGATGCAACAAATGTAATTAGTGTGATTGGTTATGATCCTTACTTTTCCTTAAAATGGTCATGGTTTGAATCCCACTACGTGTCTTTTTAATGAATTAAAAAAAGTAAGTGTGAAGACCAAAATGTCCTTCCTACTTTCACTCTCGTTGCAGGAAATTTGAAATGGGGCTCCCGTTTTTCCGTTCGGTGTATTATATTATGTGTAGATTTTAGGTAGTACTCTAATACTACCTATACGTGTTGTGTTCCATCACCAATATAAATATATATGGCGTATTTTTGTTCCACCGAAATTTACCCCTGTCCCGGGACAAGGCCAAAAGGTCCTGCCTCCGCCACTGGGCTGAGTGATATTTCTTGAAGATTTTCAGCCGAAACCCAAAAACCGATAAGTAAAACTAAACCTGAAACCAAAAAACCCAAAACCCGAAAAACCAACAATGTATTCGGACGTGGAAGATGGGAGTAGCCATTTGGCATCCGACATCAATGGTTGATTGGCATTATTGGTGGTTTAAGTTGTTTTTCATATGTACTGTGTAGAGTGTAGACTGAGATCCTTCTCCTTAGAAGTTAGAACTGATAGCTACAGAAATCTCCTTTCCTTTGGGGTGTGGCCTTTACTTTCTGCGTTTTGTAAACCCTCTCTTTTAATTAATCAATTTCACCCTTATTTAAAAAAAAGAAGTATAACCGTCTAATCTAAACCACCATACTTATATGGAGGTTCTCCTCCATAATCCTATTAAATCAAAATTTCCTGCATTCTGCGCAGAGAACGGAGGGTCATTTAGGTAAACATCATTTTAACTCACACATGGGCCTTACGTAGCAATAAAGTAGGGACAGAATGAGGGAATGAAAAGGGCCTTAATTTATGTGGGCTTATTGTTATAAAATTAAGCAAGACTACAAACGTTGTTATTTACTTTATTGTTTTCTACCGGATGTGAAATTTAATGTGTACAATCTTTTCAATTAATAACATTATCTTTAGATTTTATTAAATTGGCCAATTTTGAGAGCTGATTGTCAAGTTGGACGGTCAAAAACCGATCGTCAAGTTGGATGGTCAAAACTGATCGTTACGTTCGACGGTCAAAACCGTTAATTAAAACGATCAACCCGTCATGTCACTGCTCAGTTACCCAATATTGATGACGTGGATGCTACCTGGTATAAAAATAATAAAAATATTTAGATTTAAAAATATTTATTAAAATAAAAATATTACACGAATGTTATATAACTACAAATATCCTTTACATTAATGTTAATTCACGTAAACATGAAAGATTAAATTGGAATGAAACGAAAAGAGTAAAAAACGGAAAATGGAATTTGGAAACTTAAATTAATGAAACTAAAATAAAATTAGAAGAATTTTAATTTTAATTTTTTTTTTTTTCTTCGTTGAATCAGTTTCCTCATCTCATTTATCAAACACTAGCAAGAAGCTAGGAGAAACCAATTACAACGAAAGGGTATAATAGCATACCCAAAGGGCCAATAATCTTCTCTATCTACTACTGCTACAAAAACAGAAAAAACTGCAATCCTTACTAACTGCAAAACAATGACTCCAGCAGGAGTTCAACAGAATCTTCACACGATGCCAAAGCCTGCCAACTCTTCAAGGATGCCTCTGTTTGCTCCAATAATCAGCAGATCATGTTTAATTGCCCCCTGCAAATCAGCCACTGATTGGGATAGACCCCCATACTTCTGTCTACACCTCTCTTTCCAGATGGAAGCCACCAGGAGACACCAAATCATTCCTGCAATTGCTCCATGCTTTTTCCTGCATAAAACACAAGCAGCTGCCACAGTAGCGGACCATGATGTCTTATATAAACCGAGAGAACAAACACCCTGTATCACCTCCTTTGCATAGGAGCACTGGAAGAACAAGTGCTCCCTAGTTTCACACCCCTGCTTACACAGAACACACTCATCATCTACCAACTTCCCCCATTTCACCAGTTTGTCAGCAGTGACAATTCCATCATGTAGAATTGTCCATACAAGGAAACTGTTCCTAGGAACAAATCCATGCCCCCAGACTAGTTTGTGCCATTCTACTACAGGCCACTTAGGCCTAATCACTTCCCACACTACACTTAATCGAAACCTGGGCATGGGGACCTGATTCCAAAGTATTGTTGTCCCCTGCATAGAGAAATGCTGCTGCAGAACTCCTCGAGCCTTCAGAATTCTGCGCCAGGCCCAGGAGCCACTAGAACCAGACCTGATTGTCCAGATGCTACCTTGCTTAACCCTGTAGGCCATGATCCACGCCACCCATATTGTCCCACTCTGCATTAGGAGCATCCATAACATGCGAGCAGTGCATGCTTGATTCCAGGAGTGGAGTTCCTTTATGCCCAAGCCACCTTCTTTCCTAGGGCGAGCCATTCTATCCCAACCAATCTTGGCTCTGCCCTCCCCCTCACCATGCCACAAGAAATTGGAGCAGAGTTTTTGAACCTGCTTCAAAACCTTTTTGGGAAGTAAAAACACTTGCATCCAATATTGTAAGACTCCCATTAAAACAGAGGTGACTAATTGAAGCCTACCAGCATAGCTAAGCTTCTTGGCCCTCCAGGATTTTATTTTCTGAGTGATCTTTGCTACCAACTTCTCACAATCCACAGAAGAAAGTTTACCTGAAATCAGTGGGAGTCCCAAGTATCTCACTGGAGGCACACCCTCCTGGAAACCAGTCATTTGGATGGCCCTGCTTTTAAACAACACTGATCTACCTCCAAAATACACTTCACATTTGGCAGGATTACATTTCAGACCCGACAAAGTATAGAATTCAGCAAGAGTCTCCTGTACTTTGGAAATAGCTGTCCCTGACCCCTCTGTAAAAATCAGAAGATCATCAGCAAAACTCAAATGAGTTAGCCTCACTTTTCTGCACTGTGGATGGTAAGGAAGTTTCCCTGTATTTGAAGATTCATTTAAGAGCAACGAGAGACCTTCCATAGCTATGGTGAAAAGGTAGGGTGACAAGGGATCACCCTGCCTAACACCTTTTTGAGCACCAAAATAACCACATAGCCCCCCATTAATACTTATGCTGAATTTTGCTGTTTTTACAGTCAACTTTATCCAATTTATAAACCCAACTGGAAATCCCATAACTTCCATCATCATAAACAGATAGACCCAATTTACAGAATCAAAAGCTTTCATAAGATCCACTTTGATAGCACATCTAGAAGATAAATGTTGCCTATGGTACCCACTA